GGAGAGCACTATAACTTCCTTGCTAGTTGAGGAGAGGAGAGGTCGCCAAAATATTTAATTAGTATTAAACAATCCCAACCTGTTATGACCGTTAGACTAGCAATTCAATTACTACACCAAGCCACTATAAATTGTACACCCTACCTACACTTGGGGGGATCAAACTCATTTGAGCATAATTATCTCCTCCCCTCTCAAAGTTTGTAATCTTGTGCTCTCCTTCTACACCGAAGATAATACAATTCTAGTGACCTTTGCAATTCAAAGTGAACATAGGTTATATTAACTAAACCACTATAAAACCTTGTCTTCTGTCTCCCTCTACTTTATTGCATTTTATACTACATACTTGACAGGTGGTGTGCAAACTAATTTTGTGCATTATTAGTTTGGCACCGTCTGTGGGAACGACATAATTCTCACATAAACACTTTCTTTGCTGAATCAAAGGTGATCACCGCCGAGATCCATGAGTCAGTCTGAAGACATTGCACCACGAGAGGAGGAGGTTGCTCCTTCACCTACCAATCTCATCCCAAATACGTAGCAGATGTTGGACACAATGCAGCAGTTTATAGTCCTGAACCAACAAATTTTGCAATTGATGCTCAGGCAACAAGGAGGAGCGCAATCTGGACCTCAAGCTGGGGGAGCTCCACTCCTTGGTCATCAAGGAGCTCCCCACCTCGGCGTTCCCCATCTAGGCGCCCCACACAAGAGGGCCCATCATGAGGGAACTCCTCCTCCAGCCCTTGTACCTGTTCTCCATGGTGGAGAGCTCCTTTTCCAAGAGGATGAAAGTGAAAACAAAAGCATGGCACATGGGAGTCATGTCCGTGATAATTGCAGAGTACCTTATACCAATCACTGGGACGAAAAAATTAAGGAGGTGAAAAATCAATTGGGTGACATCTTCAATGTCATGAAGGCACAAGGACCTGAAACAGTGGACTATCTCGTAAATCGAACCGACACACCTTTTAAACCTGATGTGGCGAACTATCCACTTCCTAAAAAATTCAAGATACCATATGTCAAAATTTTTGACGGTACAAATGATCCACTGGACCACCTCAAAACTTTTAAGACCTTGATGTAGTTGCACAACATCCACGACCAAATCATGTGCAGAGCGTTCCCAACCACCTTGAAGGGAGCCGTTCAGCAATGGTTAGCCAAGCTCTCCACAGCCTCCATTGGCTTGTTTACTGAGCTGAGCAGGTGCTTCGTGTCACACTTCATCGGAGGACGCTACCACCAGAAAGCCTACTACCACATTTGCTCAGCATAAAATAGGATCGAGATGAGAATCTGAGGAGCTACCTCACTCGTTTTAACGTGGAGGTCCTTTAGGTCGAGGAGCTCGATGATAAGATCAACATAACTGCCTTCCTAGGAAGCCTCCGGTCTTCAAGCTTCCTCTTCTTAGTGATGAAGCACCCACCAAATAGCATGCCAAAATTATTGGCAAAAGTTCAAAAATATATAAATGTTGAGGACATCAACAAGTCCAGGCAAAGTGAATCATCTCACTAGTCGCCACAAGCTTGATCTATCTCTGCTCTACTCTTAAGCAAATAACCTATCTTCGGCTTAGCGGCTCTCTTATGGGTCGCCAAAAGCTTGGCCTCTACACTGTTTTCAAGCAGGTAGTCTATTTTCAACTGAGCGGCTCTCTCTCAGGTCGCCAAAAAGCTTGGCCTATGCATTGCTTTTAAGCAGGCAGCTTAGTTCCAACTGAGCAGTTCTCTCACAGGTCGTCAAAAGCTTGGCCTCTGCATTGTTCTCAACACAGGCAACCTATATCTCCAGCTTAGCGACTATCTCGTAGGTCGCCAAAAGCTTGGCCCCTGCTCTGCTCTCAAGCAAGCAGCCTAAACCCTCCAGCTTAAGGACTCTCTCATGGGTTGCCAAAAGCTCGGTCTCAAAACGTGTAGCTCTCTCACGAGTAATACTCAAACTCTGTCTTTGCTCTCGCACAAGTAGTCTACCTCTCTCTCTAGGTAATTATGTTAGATATTTTAATATTTGGAATAACATTATTTTTGTCATGTCTAGCTAGGCTCTTCAAACTCAGGTCATTTACAATCCGAGGGACTACATTAAATTAAATGTCAACAATCGGGCCTCATTCTTTTATGTCCATCTGGCACAACCACCTCGTTGTCGTAGCATCCCACGCTTAACACCTAGCGCAAACAAACTCTACTTACACTTGCCTCCAAATAGCGCACCTCCATTGTGATTAACAAAATTGCCAGCCAACTGTGTCCAGTACCATGGGCTCTACTCCAGCGGCACCCATTGCCATAGGGGCCTCTGCAATAGTGCCCAACATCATGGGTGCCTCTCCATCAGCACCCAACGCATGGGGCATCCCACCTAGCACCATAGCGCCTCACAATCAGCGCCCCACACCAATGGCACCCCCGCTTCGGTGCCCCTCATCTTAGTCCTTGCGGCATGGGTTACCATCTCGGTCTCGGCATCCTCAGCACCTAGCTCTTGCACGAGGGCCTTCCATGAACTCCCATTTGACAAGACTGCCAAGGCACCCAGCCTGTTCGCCCGAGACTGCCAAGATGCACAGCCTACTCTCCCAACATGGATCGCCGCTGCAACAGCCCTACTCACCTGGCCTGCTAGCCTCTCCACAGTGTGTCCCCCAACGCGCCCAGCTTGCATGCTAGCGACGCCCGAGGCAAGCCCATACACCTGCGCACCTCCCTCTCTTACCTAGTTTGCTCGCGCGCCCCAGCACTCCTAGCAACGGGAGCCTCCTCTCTCCCCACTCCTTCACCTACAGGCTGCTTCTGAATGGGAGCCCATGGCGCCTTCACACCTACGTCTAGCGCCTCCCCCTCCTCTCCGGGCTCTCCACCAAGATCCACAAGTTCCTCTCCATTCGACAATGTTCAAAGCTTTCAACTCAAGAGCCTCACCTATGTATTCTTGGAGGATTTCAAGAAGAGCTATCCTTTTCACTCAAGATTGTATGGAATGAGACTCTTGAAAAAAAAAAAAAAAAGAGGAAGTTTTCATAGCTAAAAGAGTCCCATAGGTAAAAGGAGTCTACTGGAAGGAAGGGAGTTGACAATCAAAAGGAGTCTTCAAAAAATTCGGATTTAAAAAAGGTTGCACGCTATTTTGACCATAGCTTTTGATCCGAAACTCTAAATGGGGCTTATTATATATCAAATCGAAACTCTCAGCGAGCTCTACAAAACTCACTCCCTTAGGCAGTGAAATATGCTATAAAAAGTTCAAAAAAGGCTCAAAAATAGCTATTTTGGCCTCCCAAGGTGTAAAAAAAAAATTTAACTACTCGCCCAACACCCTACCTGCTCGCCCAGAAGCTGTCTGGTCGCCCAAAACCAAGCGCCAGTCTCCTGTACACTATTTTGATCGTAACTCTTGATTCGAAACTCAAAGTAGGACTTATTATATACCAAATCGAAGCTCTCGATGAGCTGAGCAAAACTCATTACTTTTGATAATGAGCTTTTCAAAAAAAGTCCAAAAAAGGCCCAGCAAGAGGTGTTTTGACCTCTCAAAGTTTTTTTTTTTTTTTAAAAAAATTTGCTTGCCAAGAACAATGCTGCTCGCCCGGAAAGCTATTTGCTCGCCCAAACCGCTCGTCTAGCTCTCTGCTCGAAGTTTTAATCGTAATTTTTGCTCCGTTACTCCAAATGAGGCTTATAATATATCAAATCAGAGCTCTCGGTGAGCCTTGTAAGACACATAGCTTGTAGCTGTGATTGATGCTATTAAAAGTCCAAAAAAGTTCTATAAACAAATGTTTTAGCCTCCCGAAGTTTTTCCAGTTATACCAGTCAGCCAAAAATTCAAACTCAAACTGAATGCCCTCCTTTCCAAGTACCATTAGACGCAGGGCATTGGGGGCAAATGATGGGCCAAGCCTAGGGTCCAGCTCAAATTATAAGTCCAGTCCGAGTTTATAGCCCATCTCCAAGAGATCCAGTAAGTCCAACTCAATGCGGTCAACCCAGACAAGCTCATCAAGAATCAAGGAGTAACATCAGTAGGGAGTATGCAAGATCATCAAAGAATCTCCTCCACCACCTTGGAGTAAGGGTCATCCAGGAGCCTCCTCTACCACCTTAGAGTAAAGGTTGTCTAAAAGCCTCATCCTCGCCACCTTGGAGTAGGGGAGCATCCATGAGCCTCACCCTTGCAGCCTGGAGAGAATCAACATTCCTCATCCTTGGCCAAGTCCTTTGGTGAGCACCATAACTTCCTTGCCGGTTGAGGAGAAGAGAGGTCACCAAGATATTTAATTACTATTAAACGGCACCAACCCGTTATAACCGTCATACTAGCTATTCAATTACTACACCAAACTACTATAAATTGTACACCCCAACCAACACTTGGAGGGATCAGACTCATTTGAACATAATTATCTCCTCCCCTCTTAAAGCTTGTAATCTTGTACTCTCCCTTCACACCGGAGATAATAAAATTTCGACGACTCTTACTATTCAAAGTGGACATAGGTCATATTGAACGAACCATTATAAACTTTGTTTTTTCTCGCCCTCTATTTTACTGCATTTTATACTGCATACTTGACAGGTAGTGTTCAAATCAATTTTGTGCATCATCATATATATTGATCTAATTTATTAATATAATCTCAATAAAAAAATGTTATAATTACGATCATAATTACCCTCTTAGACTACGTCATTGTTATTATCATATCATTAAATTAATAGATGAAATAAATTTTTTTTAGTCCCATTAGCATTGATGGCCTATGAATTGTCCTTTTGAGTTTGAGATAAATTACATTGATATCCCTGTTGTTTTTGACACATTCACTGGACCCCCCCTTGTTTATGAAATTACATTGACATCCTTGTGATTTGACATATTATAACAGATGTCCACCTCAAGAGGTGTTAGTGTAATTTATCCTGGAGTTTAATAATCAAAGGTGTCAAATAAAAGCAAGGATGATGGAAACATAAAAACTTGTTTTGTGATAAACAAAAAAAAAACAAGTAAAAATTTGTTTTGACAAACAATTTTTAGAAACAATTTGGAGAAAAATTGGAGAACAAATGACTGATTTTAAAAGCAAACAAAAAAATAGTTTTGGGCTGTTTTGGAGAAAAAAAATAAAAACTAGGGGAAGGGAGTTATTGTGCACTTAAACCTCCTACGTATAAAAGCATTTCTTTTGCTCCATCTTTCTCCTCAACTTTTTTGCACTTCGGCTCTCAAAAACAAAGCTCCACCACATACACAAACACAGCGTCTGCTACAGCGAAAGCGTTTTCTCTAGTGACCGGAATGCTTTTGTTAGGGATGACAAAAGTTGTATTGTGTCAAGTTCATGTTATACCATTACTAATTCATGTGTAACACCTCGTTTTTGAGATGTATTATTTGATTCAATCAATCGATCACAATAAATCACAAATATCTCTGAATATAGGACACTCTAATTGTCTCAATAAATTTATAATCATATTTTTGATCTCCAAATATCAATAAAATTTAAAAATTATATCAAGATTCATCCATCTTCGATCCCCCAAATATCAACTTTGGTCATTCCCTCCGAGATCATTCTGAAATAAATATTAAAGGCGAAAAAGTATACAATATGATAGAAACAATATACTTAACGAGAAAAAGTATGAATGATCAAATACTAAATAATTTAATTGATAGACAATCATAGATAAAAGAATCAAGAATTCATTTCGATAAATTATATAGCTCAATTTTTATCAAACAGAACCTCATACTTGATTCCTCTTGATAACATGACAAGTGATATTTAAGCATATAAATCAATACTCACAATAACTAATCACACACCCGCAAGGCTATAATCACAAATCGTATCCTGCAGGGCCATAATTACATTTTACCAATTATATCTCAAGTACACTTTGTACATATACCAATTAATCTCAAAGTATTTAGCCCAATGTACATGTCAACCGATAAAATTGATAGAATTTCGTATCAATTAAAATAATCAATAGAAATGCAAATTTCAGATAATTAAATAATACTCTTTGCAAAGAGATTTAAAAGATATGAATATATTATATACTACTTTGTACCTTAAAATCATCAATGACTCTAACAGATGTGAAATTCGAAGTATCATGAACAAAAGGGGAATTCTACGGTACCGACTTCGGTACTGTACCATCGGTTACTACTTTTTTGGTAAAGTTACAATTCAAAAGGGAGAAGTTACAACTGCTTAGGGAAAATCTATAATCAATCAAGCGTCCATGATCGATCACAGATTGACATGATCATGGACTTTATCTAAGCTGTTGTAAATTTTTTCTTTTGAGTTATAAATTGATCTTTAAAAGTTGTAACTTAACTTGAAATTACTGTAATCGACAGTACGGTACCTCCTTCAGTACCGTAGACTTTCCCTGAATGAAATAGTCAAATTTGATAACTATCTAAAATAAAATTATTGCTCAATTTTTAACTTTAAAATCTCATAGTTTTTTTCATTCTCTCTCTCCTTTTTTTTCTCTCCTTTCTTGCATGCGTTTTGGCCTCCAAAACCAAGGCTATTTATAGCCAAAGTTTTGCTTCCAATGTCACTTATAGTCCATTTGCTACGATAGAAAAATGGAACAATGAAAAATTGAAAGGATAAATAAAATATTATGTTTGATAAGGAAAAAAAATAAGAATGATAGAAAAGTTGATGAATTAACTTTTCTTTCAACTCACTAAAATCAATCCCTCCAAAATCAGAAGGAAAATAAATGAAAAGTTAATTATATTGTGTTGAGATGTATCTTATTGTCTATATATCTTATGTATACATTAATTTCATATAAAAATACAATGGTAAAATATGTATATATATTTTAAAAAATTTTAAAAATAAATTTTTAAAAAATAAAAAAATAAAAAATTTAAATAAAAAAAATATTTTTTCCATTTTTAACTAAGGGTGAAAATTTTCGACTCAACACGATGACGCGACTCAAACTCGATACAAAAATAAACAGGTCAACTCGCAACTCGACACGACACAATTAGTTAAATTATGTTTGACTAACATTCGACACAAACTCGTAATGACTCAACACAAATTTAACACGACACGACTCGACTCAATTGTCACCCCTAATCTTAGCTAGCACAAAAAAAAATAGGCATTTTTATTTTTCATCCATCCAACCAAACACAAAAGAAGGAAAGTGTATCCTTCTACTTTCTTTTCATCCTCCATACTAAACGGAGCATTAGGTAACTTCATATTGATCACTTTATTTGGCACTTGTCCAAGTTTTTTTTTGCTTTGCTTTTCTTTTTTTTTTTGCCATATGTCACATTTTTTTTTCCAAACATTATATATTTGTACATGTGACATTTATTTTACATTCTATTATATCATTCGGTTACTTGAATATTAATATAGTATTTTATTTCAACTTGAAATATGACATATATTATAGTCATTTAACTCGTTTTTACGTAAAAAAATTTAAATTTGAGATTCATTTATTTATTTGAAATTTAAAAATAAGCCTTAATTATATAGAATAATAATTGATGACCTAATTAGCGTATTAATGGCAAAATGTTATATGAGCGATCACATTATGTTGAACACTAATCAATCCTAACTCAACCTATTTAACTAATCGTGTCGTGCCGATTGACCTGTTTATTTTCGTTTCAGGTTCGTGTTGACCCATATAAATTTCAAATAAAGAACTTAACGATAAGATTTAAGTTGATTTTATTATCAATTAATTGAATTGATGTTTATATTTTTTGTATAAATTAAAAATTAATTTAAGAAATATAAAAATAATAATAAGAAAAAATGTGTTTTTTGTACAACAATTATGTCAATACTTAATAAACAATAACAAATGACTAGAATTTTATTTCTATAAAATTAGTTAAACGTATTATTCGTGTCAATTCATGTTGTTTTTTTTTTTACATTAATTCAACTCATTTATTATTCATGTTAATATATCGTGTCATTTACAAGTTTGCGTTTAAAAATTATCAATCATAACCCACTAATTTTGTGTCAAGTATGAGTTGTGTTTTTATGTTATACCAAAAATTATCACTCCTAACCTCCGATCTGTTGATTTCTCCGACATTGCTTTGGACTTGTATACTATATATATATATATATATTTGGATCTCATTTTTTTTTCCGCTGATTGCTTCGAATATGCTTTAGATTTATTTTTTTCCGGCGTCTTCAAGATTTGCTTTGGATCTGTTTTTTTTTTTTGCTGGCTTCAAGACCATTTTTTTTTTTAAATTTCGGATCAGTGAAAGTGTTGATTGTTTATTGCTGCTAAGTCAACCGGGAAATTTCTTTCTTTTTTTTAAATTTTTTTTGACATTTTATCAAATTTAATATATTAAAAAATTTATATAAAACGCTCAATTCAAACAATAGAATTATTTTTTGAATTATATGACTAAATAAGTTTTACAATATAAAAATATAATTTTTTAAATTTAAAAAAAAAATATTTTTTTGAATATTATTTTTAAAATTCAATTCAAACACGGCCATCATTTTGACAGACATTAAAGTACGCAGGCACATGCAAATTTCATCATACGAGTCACCAGACCTTGGCAGTTGGGTGTGGGACACAAACGCCACCACTTTTTTATATGAATAATTACACTCACTATCTCCATAGTTTACTGACATATCAAACTGTTGCTTTACACTTTCCGTAACTTTGGCCAAAATTTATAAGGTCCCCAATTTCGGGGGCAGATGCTTTTAAAAAATCGTAAATGACACGGATGAGAGAGCAACCGGTTGAGATGGAAGACCAATAACGACAGCACGCTTGGAGCCATTTGCATGGAATATTCCTTAGGACGGACATGAGACCATGACTCGCTTGTAATTTTTTTTTGAGTAATGCTTCAATCACTAAAAAATGAGATCAAATAATGTGATATTATTTCAAGGGTATAAACATAATTTTTTAAACTTGAGGGAGAGAGAGAGAACACAGCTCCACGCTTCCACCCATGTTCGTAGTACAGCTTTATACGGCTTGTGGATAGGAGCTGTTCATGAATTACTCATCTTCTTTTTTCCTTCCCTTCTCCTTATTTCTGAATTGTTTTTTTTTGATCCTTTTTTTTTTTGGCTTGGCAACCAGGTCATGGGATTGGTCAAATGAACACTGGATCTGGATTAGATTTTTTTCAACAACCACATGGAAATTTTGCATCACAAGACAATTAAGAATGTACTTGAACCACACAAAATTATTGAAAGATTTAAGTCACCGCCCAGAAAGTTAATTCAAAGGTAAAAATTCTAATTTTTTTGTTTAATGTTTCAATTTGAGTTTTCACAAGGATAATAATTACAATAAAACACAATAAAAAATGTATAAACATCAATACATCATCTATAAAAAAGTCATAAACATCAATAAAACATTAGGATATGATAAAAATACAAAACTTTGTATGTATTCCATATTTTTGCTCGATTTTTTATGGAATACCAAAAAAAATTTCGTTGGCCTAGACAATTTTTTGGATAGTAAGATCGAAATTTGCGAATAACCGAAAATTTAAAAACACCTGAGCATGTTATTTCTGTTTCGATACCGGTCCCCATAACCAAAGTAGACTGTCTGCCAAGACTATTTAATTCTCACCTACCGTTCCAACAACTCATACACGAGTTTCGTAAAGTTAGTACTGAACATTGCATTATTGTTGGTATCAATGTCAAAATCAGTGTGAAAATGTTACTTAATCCAATAAAATTATGATAAATTTGATTGTTTCCCAACATTTTAATACTAATCTTATCTTTTTTAGTCTAAAATTAACCTCTTATATAGAATTTTGTTCTTAATATTAACCCCCCAAAACACTCCATCCACGTGGTGCACAGCATACATATCGTCAGGTGCACAAATTTATTCAACCCATATTTGAGTACAGATAGTCTTTGAAGATTATGACGATGACAACTACTATAGTTTCCCATAGATTTACAGGCTTCCATGTTAAGCCATATCGTCACAGATCTCAATCTCTCTTCTCCAACTTCAACCCTTTGGGTCTACTCGAGGTTCGAAGCAGTTTTCTGGGTAGCCGAAGTTCAGAATATCTGATCAGAAACAGGCAGGAGAGAGAATATGAATCACAGCCCATCAAAAGATCTAAGATGTAAATATCTCTTGGTTTTTTTTTTTTTTTTTTGGGTTTCTTAAATGCTAATAACTCAACTGTAATGAATTGAACTTCGGATCCGAGTGTGTTTGACTCGTGGAAATGATCTTTTTGTACTAGGGTTTTCACCGTCTATGCCGATGTTTCTCCAGCAGCTCCGGTACCCTCCGGGCCACCCCCTGCGAACTCTTGGTAATAAAGTTAAAAGTTCACTTTCATTGATTTCTTGAAGTTCTGATAGTATTTTTAAAAACTAATGTTTCTGGCAGGAAAAAATGGATTATTGGAATAATTCTTACAGTGGTTCTACCATTCGTGGCTCGCAAATGGAAGCTATTGTTGAGACTGAAACGTAAGGGAATAGTATCTTAGATGTCATTGAATTCAGTAGTGTTGTATCTAAGCCACCCAGTTTAGGTAGGGGAATCAATCTTTGATTCAAACATCGCACTAAGACACATCTGTTGCGATATAACAAAATAATATTATGACAAAAGATTCAGATCATGATTCATGAAGTTTAGAATGGTATATCCTGAGATGGATCATGGTTGACTTAAGAAAAGTTGAGAGAGACTTGTGATTCACTTAGAACCTTTATCAATATAAAGATGAAAAGTATCGAATCAGATACAAGTTGGATCGTCGGACGATACTTTACGCCAACGCCATGGTGCTTAGCGGACAGTCTTATCATCTTAGTTGTTATAAGTGATTTTTTTGTCTTATCAGTGAGATCTAATGTTGGCAAACGCTGTGCAGAGGGCTTTGAAATGGTGGCGCACACAGCAGAAGAGGTAGCAGAGGTCGTGGAAAAGGTGGCGCAGCAAGTGGATGATGTGGCAGAAAATGTCGCCGATCACCTTCCTGACGGAGCACTCAAAAAAGCTGTAACTGTCGTGGAAAACGTGGCCGAAAAAACAGCTAGGAATGCTCATTACGCAGATAAAATCATCGAAAAGGTTTACCTAATACCCTTAGTACCAATTTTTTTTTTTATTACCGTATCTTCAATTTTATTTTTCTTTTTTTTTTTTCTGGGAAGGAGAGGAAGTTAAATTTTTGATCTAAAAAAAACAAAAGTTTTTACGAGATAAGAAATACCATTAAACTAAAGACACATTAGTAATCTTCAAATTTTACAAGTTTCATAGATTTTAATAAAAAATTTTCGATTTATTTATAACAAAAGATTTTACAATTTTTTTGTTCATATTACAACTTTTAAAGTTTGAGTCAAAAATTTTTGATGCTAAATTATAATTTTTGTGATAATTTATGAACGATTCTAAAATTCTTATCATAACAATTATAAAATTTATAATTTTTTAGGTGTCGTTGTCTTCTCCATCTTGTATTCACACCATTGATCACTATTCAGAGTCATCTGACCAAGTGAATTAAGTTTATAGTTATCAACCATGACTAAGAAGTATTAACTACTGGTAATCAACTTGCCAATGTGTGACCAACCAAGTTTTGTAATTAACGGATGGATACGAATCCGGTTACTGTAATAAACCCAATTCCAAAAATTATTAATAATTCATGGGGACTGTTTGTAACCATGGTATAGTGATGAGGGTAATACTGCTCATTATTGCCAAGGATAATGGGCATTAAAATTGAATTTTGAGCAACAAAAATAATTATTTATATGAATGAAAATGCAGGTTGACGAAGTAGTGGAGAAAAAGTTGGATTCAATGATTGAAGCAGGCGCTAATAGAGGTAAAGCAAGTTCCAAGGAAGCAAAGGCCCAGAAGTAGATGATCAACTCCTCTAATTCGGATTAGATATGTATTAGGTGTTGGAATAAAAGTGTGAAATGTAAGAGTTGATGGAGTGATAGTGGGAAGACATTTTAATAGGATTATGTTAGCCCTTAAGTCGCGTCAATTCGAAAAGGTTGAACCGATTATGGTGTTTAAAAGTTATTTTTTTTTTTTTTTGGGTACAACGATCATACGCATATCGATTAATTTTCTCTTCTATCTAATTAAAAAAAAATTATTTATATAAAATCTAGAGTAATTATAAAAAATAAATTTCTCGTGACTTTGAGTTAAGTGTTCAGTGTCCCATTGGGACAGCTAAGTTAACTGGCTTTTATTTTTTGAAGTGACATTAAAATTTCTTTGCTTTATGGCTGCACTGGATGAGGTTAGACAAGTGGAGGTTCCTTGGCCAACGTGCGGTGGAGAAACGTTATTTGAACTTAAAAATTTGACTTAATTTGTTGACATAATGATATGATTTTAGTGAAACTACGAGATTAACACCAAGTTCTAATATTTGATAGAGCCCACAATCAATTCAAATATTATAGTAAATTAGGTCTCGATAATATTGCTCGTGGTAGAATAATCTATTCGGTTGTTCCTAAGATCTTGCGTGCCAGTGTGTGTCATAAGTATTTATTTAATAATAATGTGTTGGGTAAATTTTATTCACACCCATAAATTTAGTCATATATCACTGACATTTCTTCTAATTTTTAAAATATCACTATACACCTCTGTAATTTATATATGTGTTTCAGAAATTATCTTTACTATCTAATTTGTTCCTGACTAGCAAAAAAGCTTGTAATGTGATGGCTAATTTTTTTATGAGTTTTACCCCTAGTGCTATATGTGCACCAACCAAGATTGAATCAATACGATGCCACCTTGTCCTCTCTTCCTATTTAAAATAGTAAGCATATCTTAGTGTTAAATTAATAAAATAAATTAAAATTAAATGACAGAAATTAAATCTTGGTGTTAATTTAATAAAATTAAATACTAATACGGTGCTAATTTAAAAAAATTGAATAATAATTGGATAACATTGAATGTTAATTTGATAAAATTAAAGTTCAATTAAGCATTGATTTCAAAAAAATTAAATGTTAATATGCCGTTAAACTAATAAAATAATACTAATTTTAATAAAATTAATCTTAAATAGTTAAAATATAGGTTAATTTGATGAAATTAAATTTTAAATTTATAAACTTAATTATTAATTTATTGTTAAGTGAATAAATTTGAAGGTTAATTAGATAAAATTGATGATAAAAAAAAATTAGATAAAATTAAATATTAATTTGGTGAAATTGAATATTATTTTGATAAAATTGAATACTAATTTGGTGAAATTTAATATTATTTTGATGAAATTGAATGTTCATGTGATAAAATTAAAAGTCAATTTAGTGTGTTATTAATTAAATTAAATATTAATTTGATGTTAATTTAATAAAGTGGTATTAATTTAATAAAATTACATTTTAAATTAATAAATTTTAACATTAAAATAATGAAATTAACTATTAATTTAGTTTTATTGTTGAAAATATATTCTAAATTGAATAATGACTTGGTGCTAATTTGATAAAACTGAATGGTAATGGGATGAACTTTAATGTTAACTTGATGAGATTGAAAGTTAATTTTATGAAATATAGTGTAAATTTGAATACCAAATTGGTATTCATTTGGAAAAATTAAAGGTTGATTTGAGGAGGAGTAAATTTATTTGATGAAATTGGTGGTCAATTTGGTGTTAATTGATAAAATTAAATATAATTGTTTTTTGGTAGATAAAATTGAATGGCAGTTTGGCGGATACCATGTTAATTTTATGAAATTATATGTTAATTTGAAAATATTCAATATTAATTTCATGAATTTGATGGTCACTTTTGTATTAATTTGATAAAATTACAATATTAATTTGATGTTGATGTAGATTTTTTTTTTTTTTTGAATTGGACAAATTTTAATATTAATTTAATTAAATTGACTATTAATTTTATATGAATCTGATGTAATTATATTAATAGTAATAGTTTGTGAAATAGACACAAATTCCTCACATAAGCAAAATGTTCTGTAATTATGGTTAGGTTTGGTAGTAATAGGGGTAAAAATAAAAAAAATAAAATAAAAAAGGTAATAATATGTGGAAGTCTGGGTAAGGGTAATAAAGTAAAATCATATTTTCCATTACCAACGTTAACCGACAAAAACTGACTAGTGTGGGCAGTGATATTTCAGAAATTAGAAGGGGTATCAATGAAATATGACCTAAATCCAAGGGACGTGGGTGAAATTTACCCTAATGTGTTTGGGCTTTTGAGGTTGAGTTTCTGTTTTTGGATATTGCTATTATGATGGAATTTTGTTTTTTCTTTTGAATGTTTTAGAATAATGGGTACATATTTACCTATTTACAAAATGAATCTCACTTAGATAATTATTTGCTTACATGAAAAAAGAATGAGTAATTATTTGTTACATAGAAAGTTGATTATTAATTTTAGTGAGATCTATTTATTTATTTATTTTAATTTTAGTGGAATTTATTTGTTTATTTATTTTAATATTATTTTAATTCCCCATAAAGATATTTGTTCAGTACGTGTTTCTAGATAAATATTTATTCATCCGTTACAATTAATCCAAGTGGTTTGAAAGAAGAAAATTAGGTCAAAAGCAAGACCCCTTTCAAGGCTCGAAGACAAACCCACCATGGATCATCCTTTTTTACGAGTAGACTCTCTTCTAATATATATATATATATATATATATATATATATATATATATATATATATATATATTTTGTGAATTATTCACCATTCATTTAAGTGAAATTTATTATATACAAGTTGATGTCTTACTCATTAATAATAAATAATTTATTAAAAAAAGAATGCATTAAAAAAGATTTGAAACCTATTTTTCATATGAAACTTCATTTTACAACCCATCAAGACCCCCCTTGCCTGCCAACCTTCATTATTAACGACAGGGGTCCACCTCACTCACCATCTCAATTTGCCTTGGAACACACTTACCTACACCAAAAAAATCATTGTAGTCAAATGGGCAATTTAAGTAAAAGGTCATAATTAAGGGACTCAATAATAATTTGCCCGTCTTTAAATTAAAAAATTATAATTACTTAAGTTGATCGGCACTATATTTGATTAAACCAATAGTCAAAACCTACTAAATGTGGATCTCATTTTAAAAAATTGATAAAATTTATTCATCCAATAATATCTTTTATTTAAGATGTAAATTTAAATCGTAAATTTAGGTTATATAATATTACTATTATATTATATCACCGCATTACTATAGTCTTGCAACATTGAATGAGCTCAAGCTGTCACCTGCATTGTTGGAGTCAGGGAATTTAGTGGGAGATGATATTGTCCTTGATCTGCACTTGTTGGAACTGGACCATCAATGACATGCAATCATAAAAGTGGGAGTACTGTAGATGATTTGATGGATTGAATTATGATACAACTAAAAAAAAATTAGTATTATACCTTTAAAATTTATTATCTTAAAATTTATTTTTATAAATTTTATGGGTAATTTTATAATTAAAAAATTTATCATTTTTGTGAGTAATTTATAATTATTATTGATGTTTTTATTACATTTTTGATAACTATTTTTTCCACATTTCTTACATATGAAAAAATTACTACTTTTGTAAATATTTTATTATATTTAAGGATATTTTTATTATATTGTGAACTATCTATTGTCTGTGCATTAAGACACGGAGTAATAAAAAAAATAGTTAACAATAAATTTATTTTTATTCACACTTAAAATTAAATTACAAATATAGAGGAGAGAGAAAGAAATTTAAGTAGTGGTTTTAGTTGGAGTGAGTACGACAATGGTGATTGTGGGAGACGATGATGGTTTGTAAAGTGTGGTGGCAACTGTGGTAATGGTGACAATCGTGGGTGGTAACGGTGATGGTGGTTGTAGGTTTTAGGTGATAGTGACAACCATGGGTGACGGCGGCGACGGTAGTGGGTGTGGGTGGTGGTGGTGGGGGCAACGACAGTGGTGGTGGTGATGCTGGGCGGTAACGATGGGGATGGTGGGCTATGACGGGTGCTTCTGAGCGACAGTATAATGGGTGGTGACAAATGATAGTGGTGGTGGTGGTAGGTGTGGTGAGGATGAATGATAATGAGTGGTGACAATAATGGGCGATAATGGATGGTGGTGGTGGGTGATAGTGACTGGCGACAATTGTGGGCGATGACGAGTGGTGGTAGGTTGTGGTAATGGGTGGCGGTGGGTAGTGGTGGACAACAATGATGGTGATGGGTGTTGTGGTGGGCAACAATGATGGTGATGGGTGTTGCGGTGGGCAACAGTGGTAGTAGGATGATGGTGATAGTGGTAATAAATATAAGAATAAGATGACGATGGTGGTGGTAGTGGGTGGTTGTAGTGGACGACGATTGTAACAATCGGTGGTAGATGGCGAGGGTGGTGATGGGGGCAGTGGCAGTGGTGTTTGGGGGTGGCAGATGTGGGGGTGGTGGCAACGGAAGTTGTGGTGGTGATATGGTGGCAATGGTGGTGGTAGGGGTGATGGTGGGATAGTGGTGGTTATGGGGCGATGGGGGTAATGGTGGTGGTGGGCTGGCGATAATGGTGGTGGCAGTGACGGTGGTAGTGGTGGTAGTTATTGTGACAAAGGTGGTAGTGGTGGTGGTTTGTGGTGATGGTGGTGGGGGTAGTGATGAGGCAATGAGGGTAATGGTGGTGGTAGGGTGGCAACATTTGTGGTGGTGGTAGTGGAGTGGTGGTGGGGTGATAGGGGTTGTGGTAGTGGTGATAGTGTTGATGGCGACGACGGTGGTAGTGGTGATAGTGTTGGTGGCGACGACGGTGGTAGTGGTGCAGCGAAGGAGGTGGTGGGTGGCAATGGCGGTGGTGGTAGCAGTCGTGGGGTAGTTCCACATACTATATATATATATATATATATATTTTAAGTACTTATAAAAAGTTGTAAGCTCTATAAGTACTTTTAAAAAAATTACCTTAAACACACCCTTAGGGCTCAATTTTTCTTATTAAATGTGGGGTGTTAATATTAGTCATCAGATTAACTTTAAAATAAAATTTAAAAAAATTCAACCATGAAAAATAAAAGTCATTTTATTTATCTTT